CCAGTCCACGCCCCTGCCGCGTCTCCCTAGTCTTTGCCGGCGGCGGCTGCGGCTCGGCTGGAGCTGGGGTATCCATCGTCGGAGACCTCAGGAGCATCGTCGCCTCGCAGATGGAGGGCCTCATTTGTTGAAATTTGGGAACAATTTTGGAAATCTACGAACATTTTTTGGTTTGACATTTTCAAATTTGGGAAAAAATTGGGAACAAGGTTTCAAATTCGCAAACATTTTTTGAATATTGTGAACGTTTAAAAAAATTCATAACTGTTTTTTAATTTGCAAACATTTTTTTTCAAATTCGTAAACATTTTTTGAATAAGCAAACGTGTCTTTTGATATCATGAACATTTTCTGATTTCCAGAACATTCTTTTTGAAACCGTGAACATTTTTTAAATTATGAACATTTTTTGAATCCACAAATATTATATGATTTCCCAAACATTTTCTAAAATAATTAACATTTTTTATTTGACGTGTATTTCTTGAACTGGTTTCTTGAAATTCAAAAAAAAATTGAAATTTAGAACTTTTTTGAAATCCTGAATTATTTTGAAGAGGAAAAAAATACAGAAAGGAAAAACAAATGAAAAAACAGGGGTGTCCCGCCCTGCACATGGGCTGGCTCAAAGCAGGTGCGGGGAGGAGCGGGAGGTGCGCGTCTGTGCTATTCAGCGCGTTAGTCGCTGAATAGGGGCGCCCGACTAAATAGTACCCAACTCATTTGTTCTCATTGAGCCCACACAGCCCATTAAGCCGAACACAACTCATTTGTCTGGACCACAACCCTACACCCAAACCAAGCCCACGCTCGCCGAGTTGTTTGCGTCTCCGCCGCCGACGACGACGAGCACACCCGCAGGCGCAGATCTGAGATTGAGTGAGTGTGTGAGAGAGAAATCGGTGGAGATGGCCGGGAGGCTGACTGCGATGGGATCCCGCATCATGGGCGGCCACGGCGCAGCCGCGCGCGCCGCGGCCTCCGCCCTCCGCAACCGCGCCGGCATGGGCCTCCCCGCCGGCAGGCACATCGTCCCCGACAAGCCCGTAAGCTAGGAGACGCCCCTCCCCTCGCCTCCCCCGCTCTCTATTGTTTGTGTGATCTCCATCTCTAATCGGTTCCATTTCGGATTGGGGATTTTTGCGTCGCAGCTGCCTGTGAACGACGAGCTGGTGTGGGACAATGGCACACCCTTCCCTGAGCCCTGCGTCGACCGCCTGGCGCCGCACATCGGCAAGGTATGCTGATCCGACCCCCTCCCCCTCCCCCCTCCCTACTGCTGCAATACACAAGACCGCATCCACTGCAATTTGGTGCGTTGCAGCGCATCAAATGCGTCTGTATCGGTTTGATTTTGATGTGTTTTGGTTGGACAGTACGAGGCTCTGGCGTGGCTGTGTGGAGGTCTGAGCTTCTTCGCCGCTCTCGGCCTGGCCGCCGTTGTGAATGACAAGGCCTCCAAGATGCCATATGTGAGTTTCCAGTGCCACTGCTTCTACTGCCTCGTGATGTTACAACCCCCATTGTTTGTTTAGAGACCATCTTTGTAGTGTTTATCTGTTTGGGCTATGATTTAAAGGAGACTTTCCTGCAAAAAAGTACACCCTCTGTTCCTAAATATATGACGTTTTGGCAGTTCAATTTAAACTGCCAAAACGTCTTATGTTTATAAACAGATGTAGTAAAAGATTTAGCGGAGACTTGCCTTATGCAACTGTACAAAAAATATTGTTGCTAAGATGGTACGACCGTTGGGTCATTGTGAGAGTGTTCCAATTGTTAATTTTAGGCTAGAGTTGCAATTGTTATGAATTGATGTAAATTTGCACAATTTACCTAAACTAGACCTGAAAAATGGTGCAAACCCAGTCAATTTAGTTAACTGTAAATAGAGTACATTTTGGCCTATGTTTTTAAGGCGACGCCTTGCTTTAAGGCGCTGGGGGGGCGCTTCGACGCCTAGGCGCCTAAAGCGGACGCCTAGGCGCCTAAAGCGCAAAGCGCTGGGGGGGCGCCTCGACGCCTAGGCGTCGCCTAGGCGTCGCCTTACGGACGCCTTTAAAACATAGATTTTGGCGTTTTGTTGTTGTTGCAACTAGGGAGGATTCTTGTACTGTATGATCATCAACATATTTTCCTTGTGGTTTATTAGTTGTGATTTGTGTTCTAGCTGTCTAGTGCATGATCTAAATTGTTTCTTGTTAGAAGTTTATATTCCGAGAGAATTAAAGACTGCAACTAGAAATTGATTAATTGAATTGGAACCAAGTTAATTGACCTCAGTTTGTGCAAAATATGTTCTCCCTTGTTCCTTGAAACAAATAAAATATAGAGAGCTTCCTTGATTTCTTATGTATCTATGGGGGCATTCGTTGTGGGTATTCTTTTCTTATCAAATGAACTGCAATTAATCATCTAACTCTATGGATAACAAATGTAAATATCTGCCACCTCATTGCTTAGCAAGTTATTTTATTGCCTTCATTCAACTGGCACTGCTGGCTTAAATTTCCCATGGAGGATCTCACTTTAGGAAAAAGTCCACATTAGTACATTACACTCTCAAACTATTGGCTGTGCTCATGTACCCACTTAAACAATTTTTGGGCTCATTCAGTAACTCGCTGATTAATTTGAGATCCACTTAACCCCCTAACTAGACTCAGTGGTTCCCAAACAGGGGTTTCATAATCTTGGTTTGACATGTAGGCATGTCACATGTCACGCCATCATCAGCCACAACTCCTTTCCTCCATTTGGTTGATTTAAGCGGAAAATTTTCAAGGAAACAGAGTGCAGTGACGCGGCGGAGGGGTAGGAATTAAGGTTCCAGTGGTTGCTAGAGATATCGCGGGGCATCCAAGTGCTAGCTACCTTGGAGACGTGGCAGTCAGGGTGTCCTAGTGATAGGATCCATCAAGCAGGCTGGTCGTGTTCTTGGCCTTGAGCTGCAGACGGAAGTGGCGCATATTTTCTCACCACATCATTTCCAGGAGCTCCTATATGATACCCTTGTTGACCTTCTGGAAGAAAGGACCCCAGTATGCGGGATTGCAGGTGCCCGGTGATCCCAGCTGCTCAGGACGCTATCTCCTCCGTGGCCCCGCCATTCTTTGTCAGGCACCTGAAATTGATCACTGGGAGCTCGCACTCTGACATGTGCAGAGGCTGACTGGCCAACAGCACTGTCATGCACAGGTGCTTGTTCTGTCAGATCACCGTGGCAGAGCAGCACTGCAACAGTGCCTAGTAGCTGTCCGCTAGCGGCTGGTTAGCTAGCTCCAAAGCTAGATGTTCGAATTCACTACGGCGAGCTGTAAATACATCCTAGCTGTGAGCATCATTGTTTATAAGGCGTTAAGGCGAGCACCAACCGCCCTGACGCGTAAGCGCCTAAAGTGGGCATAATTGCAAGGCACTGCCAGGGCGCCTTGGCGCCTAAGCGTCCGCCTTATAAACAATGGTTAGCATATCGTGTCCTTGGGCTAATCAAAGTGAGCTGTGCCTATTCTGGATGCAAGGAAGCTATAGAGAGCGCCCGGTGTGCTTGAGTGTTGTTTTGTGGTGCAAACCCTGCCATGTCATCACCAATCCTGGTATAGGGGGTTAAGTAGACCTCAGATTCTTCATCAGGTGGTTAATTGGGCCTAGAAATTGTTTTGGGTGCATTCAATAGTTTAGATATTTATTTCCTTAGAGAGCAGTTAGTATTTTGGTACACCCTTAAACCTTATATGTATGTCGGGCCTTAGATATTTGTGTTAAGTTCCTTATTATGATTTCATCCCGACACAACCTTGCACTTCCCCAAGATTTGATGCTGGAATCTGTTACTGGATATATACTGGTGATTATTGAGTCTAGATGATCGATTTATTCTGATAATTGTGAACTTCACTGTCATGCTGTATGTTACTCTATTGACTTGAACAATTGGATAGCCATGTTACTAAGCATGGCCTGTGTCAAACCCTTCAATCCCTAAGCTGTAATGCCTCCTTGATATGCAAAGTTTATACCCACGTCAGAAGGTATTGGTATTAGCATCGCTGGATACTCATGATGTTGCATAATCTGTTATATCCTTCGAAGCACGGAGGACTTTATCATGTATGCTTGTTACCTTATGTGCTATACACGTGTGGAAACAAAGGTTTGGTACTCTCCTGAAGGTTACAGTAGTCAGTAAAGCTAAAATGATCTTATATTTTGGGACGGAGGGAGTATCTGTTAAGCTTATGCCCTTTGTCCTAGATGAAATTCCTTAATATGTCATATCATCCCAATCCTACTTTTTCAGAATACTGCAAACGAAGAAGGCCCTAAAACTAATCTTCTGTTTAAACTTAATCTGATAGTTACTACAGATGCGAACTTGACTTGAAAACTTAATCTGATTTGTGATTGCGGACCTGAAAACTATCTAAACTAGACAATGCCCCATGCGATGCTGTGGGAACCTTGTTAAAAAATATATGGCTAAGTGGTAGAATACTAAAGTTAATGCAAAAAGCAAATACAAAATGTCTTACATGACTTAATTTCCTTGGAAAAAAGTCATGCATGAGGTGGTATGCTTTGCATTAAGAGATTAATGAAAAAATAACTTATGAATACATGCATGACTAGGTGATGTGGCATTGTTGCATGGAGAGGAAAATTAGGTAGTGAGTTGTAGCTATTTAAGAATAGAGGATTTGTTGTAAATTGGTAAAGAAGGATGCCTGTTTTTAGTTTATTTTGCTGAACAAGCTAACTAAACTCATCATACTTTCTCTTGCAGACACCAAAAGTCTACCCGTTCGACAATTTGAGAGCGGAACTTGGTGATAGATCATAAAATATTTCCCCCCACCTTTTCAAGTGTTGCGAGGAACTGAACTCAGCACACCTCCTTTCATCGGGATGGTGTTTGTTGTCGTTTGTCATGTTATAAACATTGGTCTTGTAGTTTGTTGAATCGAGATAATCGATCCCAGTTTGCGCATATCTATGCATTGATCCATGTAATAAACAATATTGGGTATCTTGTTGATTTCAGATCAATTGACGATGGTACTCTTTGCAAATGTTTTCAAACAAAGTTTTTCCTCTCAATCATTCTTTTTTATAACCAGGCATGCACTTTGCGGCTACTTGTTTTACTGACAATGGCAGAACTGTGATAGTACTTGTAAAGCTGCATGTATAATGTCTGCTTGGTCAGCAACGTCCATATCCCATTCTAATTCGTTTCGGAAAGCACGGCGTTCACAGGGAATAACCATTTAGCAAAGTTGGAACTGAAGGTATAGCGCAGCAAGCACCGAACATGTCATTACGTTACCACACGACACAAGATAGTAGACTTAACATTAAAGGACCAGTACACAGACAAACTTAATTAAAATTCGCGCGCAGCACGTACCACTACTAGCAAGCAAATTAACAACGTTCCATTCGTGCGTGCGTGCGTACGGACTTGGCTGGTCAGTTGGTGCACTGGAAGCCAGCCGGGAGCTTCCTGCCGCAGTGGTTGACGAGGAGGCCGAGCTGGAGGGGCAGGCCGACGTCGACGACGCCCAGCACGTTGGCCTTGATGGCGGTGCAGAGGCAGACTGCGGCGTCCAGGTCGGCGAGGCCGCCAACGAGCTCGCAGCACGGCTTCTTCCCCGACGACGCCGTCGACCAGGAGCCCGCCATCAGGTTCGTCAGCCCGTCGCCTAGGCCCAGCACGTCCGCGCACACCCCCAGCTTCAGCGCGTCCACGGGGCACTTACCTCCGCCGCTCCCGCTCCCGCCCGTCACCGTCGGTGCGCTCGGCGTTGGTTTGCTCTTGCTGGGGCAGGCCGCCTCTGACGAGACGGGGAGGAGGAGGAGGCTCGCCGCTAGAGCCAGGGTAGACAGTGCAACCACCGTGCTGCTGGTTTTGCCCGTCGCCGCCATGACTATGCTGTGACAAAGGTTAGAGAGATCGACGAGAGAATGAGTACCTAGTACGGGTGCGTGCCGTAGCTGCCGTGCATGTGGTGGTATTTGTAGGGGAGTCATCGGTTCGAAAGTTGCGAATTTACTTGAGTCAGGTGTCCGATCGGCTTTATCGCGGCGGCACTTACTGGAGCAACGTGCAATCTGTACTGTAGCTTTGGTACAACATGTAGGGAATGTTAATTCATTGTGGTTCTTCTTGTCGGTGACGCATTAATTCAGGCGCTGCCTGCCGCGTGGTCACTTTGATAGAGAAAATGATCAAAGTTTTTTTTAAAGATATTTCGCATGGCTCAGTTTGCTGTCTCACGCCAAAGAAAAAGGAAAAGGAAAAGGAAAAGGAAAAGAAAGGTTCAATTTTTTTTTGAGGAAATCTCAGTTTGCTGTTCTATGCCTATCCACACGATTCCTATTTGGCGCTGCAGGCGCCCGTTACAATAGTGCAATCTGCAAACGGGCGCCTGCAGCAGTCCGAGCTCTGGAAAGGATAAAAAAATCAGCGTGACCCAGATTCGAACTCAAGACCACTCCATAGCAAGCAAATCGACTTAACCACTACGACACCACCATGGGTCATGCAATCTTTTCAAAATCGATGAACTGTTTTGAAATCAGGTGATTTTTTTTTCAAAATCGATGAACTTTTGTTTCAAATTTGATAATTTTTTTTGAAATCGATGAACTTTTTGCATAATCAATGAACTTTTTTCAAAACCATGATCTTTTTCTTAATTAATTCAAAAAAAATAAGTGGTACAGTACATGAATAAAATAGCGCTGCAGCCCTGTTATTATGCTGTCGCCTCTGGTGCTAATCAACAATGGCAAGTAGGTCTTCTGGCTAGTGACACTTGTATGTTAACACTATTAAGCGTGCACGTGCAACGCACGTATCCTAATAAAGTACACTAAAAACATGAACTTTCACTCCTGTTTTTACCAGAACATTTAAATGCGTGTCACGCCCAATGATTTGAATGCAATAATTTATTTTAGATTAAGTCATAAGTCTTGTTTGACTGGTGAAAGACTTTCATTGTTGAAATGTTGTGATCCCAAAATTCCAAAAACAAAATGAAAAAACCCGCGCATGTAACACGCGACCAATACACGTGTCTTCACATAAAATTAACAATGACATAAATGTATTGTATTTGTTACTTATTACAAAAACACTTAAAAATAACAACTAAGGAACATTATCTAGTAATCATTATTTGATGATGATCCTCTCTGGAAGGTCCATCTTTTGATCCGGTCGATGATGCTTCGTTCTAAGACCGGGATATTGTTTAAAACTTCATTCTCTTCATACTTCAAAATATGAACCAAAAATCGCTTCCTCGGTTCAAAATCATCCTACATATGCATTATATAACATCGTTATTAAAAAAACATGTGTAATGTGTGTAGAAATGAGCATGGTGTCAATACTTACCTTGGGTATTGGAAAATGCAGCATCCCATCGTGCCATGAGTGTATTAAATTGAAAACCAAATAACCAGACAGGGGACTGCATGTATGAAATGTTACATGCAAATTGAATGAATCAATTAAGATTGTGATATATTGACAAGATTCGTACCCGTATGAGTTTGTTGGAACAGCAGGAACTTTGCATCCCCATTTCAAAATGTCGTCCTTGAAGGCAGGGTTTGCAGCTTGGAGTGCAAGGTTTAGATTGTTGGCCATAGTTTCAAGTATATGCTTTCCGAAAGTGGGTATTGAAAGCGGGTTCAAAATAGATACAACTTTTTTATGTTGGTCCAAGACAAACAATAAAAATAACCCAAGAATATCACGAGGCAATAAAATCTACAATGATACACGCATTTAGAAATACATCAATCATTATCATTCATTAAGACCAAATAAACAATAAATTTAAATTTAAATCTTACCGTATCACATTCTGAAATATGATACTCATTGCTGTCAGGCCAGCTATCAAACAATTGTGCCAACATAGCAATGTCCATACCGTCACGATGACTTGAGACTCGTGCATAGTGGGACATGGACTACAATGTTGTAAGAAAATATTAGTAGAATGAGGCAAAATGTAAAATGTGATTAAAATAACTTAGACAGAATCGTAGATCCATATAGTGTACCGGGACGTCTCTAGCAAGCTGGACGTCGTGGCATGCTAGTATCCTCACAGCCATGTTAAAACAATCAGCATCCATGTACTCATCATTTTTTAATATGTTCTTTAATTGTCTCAAGTTTGAATTAATAGGGTAAGGCTGGGAGCTTGTCACCCATTCGCTCCTGTGAAATAGGAATTCTGTCATTATACAAGAGTAATAGGAACAAAAATGAATTGCAAAAATGTGTCTTACTCTAGCATCGGGACATCATAAACCATGCTGATGAACAAGCAAAGTTCATCTATTAAGTCGTCGTTTGTTGGAGTGACAGGCGGCGAAAGGATAAATGATTGCGAGATGAGCTCAACTTGTGAAGATGAGTTGGATGCTTTATGTTTGTTAGGAGGTCTTTCGACAATCATACAATCAGTGGGATCCGTGTTGGTTTCATCATCATCCAAGTCTCGGTTTCTTATATCGTCATCATTGAATTCCGAGTCGACTAAAATGACAACTAATTTTGTTCTAAAATCTTTCATGTGAACCTAAAGTGAAGTAGTAATAAGACTTAGTTCTCAAATAATGATACAACACAAAATAATTATTATCATGATACGATGCAAAATATACCTGTCCGGGAGTGTCGGACAAACTATCTCCCGTGAAGTACTCCATGAAATTTAACATCCAGAGACCACAAGATGACCTTGATGATAAAGAAATTTTGTTATGCTTAATAACAAAAATATTAATAAAAAATAGTATCATAAAATGATGATGACTGAACCACACTATCATACCGGATACGCTCGATAAAAAAGGAACTAAACAACGTTTGCCGCTAATATAAATCAAATAACCAAAAGGGCTATCAATAAAATAACTAAATTTCTAAACCCATATATTTTGTATATAAATCAAATGAACAAAGCGGTTATCAATAAAAACATGAATTTGTGAATGCATAATTATTTTGAGAGAAACCCATATAATTATTACTTTCACCGAATAGGTTGTCGATCATAGATACAAAAGTTAAACAAACGAGACACGGCCAATGATCCATTTGGTCGATGTACTGTTTAATCTGGGTGGCCTAATTAGGTGATAGAAAAGCAACCAGAGGTCAGATTGCAAAAGAGAGAGAAAAAGCAACCAAAGAAACACTAATAAGGAACAGCCGGTGAAAAGTAAAATAAAAAAAGAGCAACAGGATGTAACCCGTCGCACTATCACTATCTCGATCTCTCCAGTACACTATCACTTTGCTTTCTCCACTTCTCACTTCTTCCTCCGCCAGCCGCCTCCTCTGTAGCACGGCGCCTACTTTGCAGCACGCCACATCCTTTCCCGGCACGACGTCGGCCGGCGCCCCCGCCCCCACCCCACCCCCGCCCCCACCCCCACCCCATCCCACCACCTCCACCACCACGGCCTTGCCCCGTCTCCTCCTATCCCCACCAGAGCCT